TGGGAAACACGTTGCCAATAGCAACATAGAAGGTTTAAACAGTGAAATGAACAGCGCTAAAATGACTGGATTCTCTAAAGGGGTAAATTTTACCCGCTGGCGCTAAAACTGGCTTTATCTTGACATTTTTTAACAATAGTGGGTGCTACATAACACACTTTTACGAAAAGTCAGAGACTGAGGGACTTGAATATTATATTGAAACAAAGATTCATACAATCAAAAAACAGCCACGGGTAAATTTGACCCGTTGGCGGTTCTAGTGTTAATAGTGATATTTTTAACCTGTAGTCCCTGCCACAGTTCTTCTTCTGGTTTTGGTTTTGGAAAGACCAGGGCAGGCCCGTGGCATAGGCAGTTGACTTGGGCATAAAATGTCAGGGGGCGCCGCAACTCCGTCCAGCTGATGCGACACTGGCGTAAGACATTAATCATGTGCACCTTGCGCTGTCCAGTCCTGACAGCTGTGACGAGTGGTAACATAACTGATACAGTTCTGATATATAAATATCTTAAAAATTAAGCGTCTTGCTCTGTTTGGGACTGTGAGCTGAACTTTATTTTTTTTGGTTTCACATGCAGCATGCAGTCCCAAACTATGTCAGTCAAACGGTCTAATGGGAATAACCTACTACCAGCAGAGCAATAACTTAATGCACAGCAGAATATAAGGAAGGTATGAATTCTCATTAAATGATGACCTTAGTATCCTAATATTGAAACATGTCAGAGAACACAGATATGTGGGAGAGATTCTGAATGTGCACAAAGTTTTGAACATGAGCAGAAAACCTGCTGAAACACATGAGCTTTTAAAGTCCAGGAGTTTATACCTGAATTAAAATGAATGAATTTATCATTGAGGTGAGAAGGTGCCACATGCACATTTAAAGAGGTTACTTCCCCAAACAAAGACAGGAAAGAGGAGGGAAGGTCATGTGTACTGTCTCAGCAGGGATTTATTAAAATAGAAAAGTTGATCTACAGGAGAAACATATTTTAAAGCAATACCTACAGAATTCCTGAAAGCCTTACTGCATTATATTCTATTAAATTGAAATATTTTGAGTTATCACCTGCCGCCTGAATATTGTGTTTCCCTTTATATAGATAAAGACATTTCCACCATAAATTGATGCAGAAACTTTCACCCAAATGCAAATGCTCTGTTTTTGTATAGCGCCTTTCTAGTCTTTTCGACCACTCAAAGCGCTTTTACACTACATCTACATTCACCATTCACACACTGAGCCTAAGTGCTCAAACAGAAACTAACATTCACACACATTCATACACTGGCGGAACAGCCTCCAGGGGCAATTCGGGGTTCAGTATCTTGCCCAAGGACACTTCGACATGCAGCCTGGAGCCGGGGATTAAACCACTGACCTTCTGATTAACGGCTCTACCTCCTGAGCCACAGCCACCCCTGGACATTGCAGGAAATTAAATCTTTAATGCTTTAAAATCTTTAAATTTTCCTGGGGGAGGACCCCAAGACCCTCCTATTAATTTGTCCCCGCCACCGTTTAAACTAAACCAATGCTCTTGCATTTCAGGAAAATTACCGCAATAATATACTACATTGAAATAAATGAATATGTAGGTTGACACTCAATTTAAATGGGGACACATTCCCAGATGCCAGGTTAAGTTTTTTCTCCCAATTTTGGCTGTGATGTGGAGGGTGATCAGACTTCTTCATTGACTATAATAATTGACTTGGCTGTTCATCTATAATGCTGACATTGTGAGTTTGGCTGCTGAACGTTTTAAACAATTCCTGAGGTTGGAGGAGTAATGAGTCTGTGGTGCACTTTTTAATTTCAAATTTCTAATCTGGCCTAGGGCTCCAACATTGTCAGGTCCAGCCCTGGGAACAACAATAAAAAAGGCATGAGCCTCCAAAATCTTGACACATAGTGACTCTCCCTACAACCCCATTCACAGTGGTGCATTAAGCTAAACGCAAAAATCAGAATGTAACAAGAGGAATGAGGTTCATCTTCATAATGTCAATACTAACATGCTGAAGTTTAGCAGGTTTACATTTTACCTTGTTTAAGCTTAATGTGGGGCGGCGCGGTGGTACAGTAGAGTTTGCCTCTTCTCTCCGGGTGCTCCGGCTTCCTCCCACCATCCAAAGACATGCAGGCTAGGTTAATTGGAGTCTCCAAAATTATCCTTAGGTGTGAGTGGTTGTCTGTCTATGTGTGGCCCTGCGATGGACTGGCTACCTGTCCAGGGTGTATCCCGCCTTTCGCCCGATGTAAGCTGGGAATGGCTCCAGTCCCCGCGACCCTGTACGCAGGATAAGCGATTGACGATGGATGGAAGTTTAATGTGTTAACATGTTAACATCTGATAATTTGGACCAAACACAAAGTGCAGCTGAGACTGGAATGTCATTAGTTTTGCAAATATTTACCAAAGAATTGGACACAATAAAATGTTGTAGATTTACATTTATAGTATTCATCTTTTAAATTATTAATGCAGTCTTTGTAAAACTGACCTGTATTTTAAATGTTCCTCTTGCTCAACATCAGGGGCCGTCTCCTCACCTGTCATCATTTTAGCAGGGATTGACAGAGACAAAGGGGGAGTGGTGTTACAGTGTGAGTCTGCAGGCTGGTATCCAGAGCCTGAGGTGTTTTGGCTGGGAGGTGAGGGAAACCTCCTCTCTGCTGGACCTACAGAGACAGTCAGAGGTCCTGATGACCTCTATACTGTCAGCAGCAGAGTGACTGTGGAGAAGAGATACAGCAACAGCTTCACCTGTAGAGTCCAACAGAAGGACATCATCCAGACCAGAGAGACAAATATTCAGATTACAGGTAGAAATGATTGATGATGTGATCAATGTTTTAGTTTCAAATAGCTGAAGTCTAGTGTTCTATAAACACCATGTTATTTTGTGTTTTATAATTTCAGATGATTTCTTTGAGGTCCAGTCCAGTTTGTCCCCCATCACAGTTGGATTGGCTGTTTGTTTGGCTGCTTGCATCATGATCATTTTGTTACTTATCTTTTCTATGTGGAAATGGAGACAGAACAGAATCAGTAAGTTTCAAATAAATTGCAGATTAATGGGACATAGTGATGTGACTAATTGTATAAATTTAATTTGATCTTTGGTTGGTTTAAAAATGTGTTTTTTCTACTTTTATTTCCAATTAGTCAAATTGTCAGGTGTCTTATTTTTATAGTCATTTTTTACCTCAATTTAGATTAAAATGTCTGTGATGCAAGAACATGTCTTTAATACTTTAATTCTACTGCCTGTATTTTCACACAGAGAGCAAGAGAAGCGACAGGGATGAAACTGATGAAGGAGAACAGAAGGTCCGCTTTAAAAGTAACAAACCTGAAGATCAGGTTGACACTGAAGCAGAAAGAGAGCAGCTCATGACAGATGAAACAGTGACAATGAAACAGTTGAAGAACAGAAAAGGGGAAAGGGAGAAAACACATGTAAGTAAAGAAACAGGAAGTATTCAAAGCAAAAGTCAGTGGGGATTAAAACAACACAAAAAGAGGTAGAGAGGTAAAGAACAAATGCAATACTGCTGAAATTTCTCAGTTGCTGTGACATTCTGTAAAAAAACAACAATAAAATCATATCTAGATTCTTGTTCCTGTTTATGTCTCTCCTCTCTCTCAGTTTAAGAAACAAATAAAACCATGATATAGGCTTGATAGTTTTTCTGTTACTGTTTACATGTTGCAGTACATTAACTCAAATATTCATTCATAGTTAAACATGTCTCTCATATTGTGTCCTCTTCTCGTTCCTCCCAGTTTGAAGACAAACAAGCTGACGTCCAGCAGCTCCAGGATCAGATTCAGAGGACGGAGACCATCCTGCAGACGGAGGAGGTTCATTATTCTACTGAACAAAAAGTATCAGAGTATCCAGATATTTATAGAGATATTTGGTATCAGTGTCGATGCTCAGACATTCAGCAACACTCATCATCATCATGTGTTGAACATTCAGACCTTAAACCTAAAGGTGCTCTGTGGAGTTTTCTGGTGAATAAACAGAAGTTATATTTCAGTGTTACTCACCAAAACACATCGTGTGTATTTGAAGTCTAAATTTAATTTCAATCAAGCATTTTAAATCCAAAATTGTTAACATCCATGTTTACTACAGCAGTCGTTGTCTTCCTGCCCTTGCTGGTGCGTTGCTGCATATCTTGCCATTTTACAGCCACCTATAGATCAGTGAATAGTAGGTAATGATTGTCAGGAACATATTTCCATCTCCTATTTAGTGGATTAACGCTTTTTTGACAAAGGCAGCAACCTCCTCGTAAAATTAAGTTTTATTTGTTTTTTTTTTCAAATTTTTCCATAAAAAATAACAATGATGGAAACATGCCTTGTGTGTGTTTGCTGGAGAACAAGCAACACTCAGCAGCCACAGCACAAAGTAAATTATCTGGAATCCTCATCATGACAGAAATCCTTTTATCAGCTGATATGAATGAAGAAAAACCCTGACGTTGTAAATGGTTACATATTCATTTAGTTGATCCTTTTATCCAAAGTGACTTACAATTGCTATACATGTCAGAGGTCACACATTCTGGAGCAACAATGGGTTAAGTGTCTTTTCCCGGGACACAATGGTGGATGGGTCCAAACTAACATTCACAAACTGGAGGAGCTGTTGAATCAAACCGCTGATCTGCTGATTAACGGGCAACCCACTCTCTCCTGAGCCACAACCCTGTTTGTCTTTATATAAATATAAATAAATATAAATATAGATGATGGATTACAGGCAATTAGATATGTGTATTCAACATCATCTTCAGTACCACAGAGCCTGCACGGAAACAGGGTCCAGGTCAAAAAATTGTCCCTTGAAGTAGCCTTGATTTTATTTCTGTCTGTTTCAGGCTTCACTGTGTATCAAATTTCCCACATGTCTAAATAAAGAGAACTTATCTCTTTAATCTTGTCTTTCTTCATCTTTGCTCTTCCCCTAGCTTGAAAGAAAAATAGCTGAAACCAAGGAGCAGCTCGAAGATGAGAAGAAGAGGAGGGAAGCAGTTGAGAAGAACATGGAGAACCAAAAGCCTGAGGTTGATTTCTTTACCTTTATCTTTATGTATTTGTTTAGCTGTCTAGTTATCACTTTTCCCCCTCCATGTTACTATATATCCTTTTTCCTTCCAGTGTGAAAAGAAGCTCCATGATGAACAAAAGAGGAGGGGGGAGGCAGAGAAACAAGTCGAGATGATACAGCAGGAGGTTTGTCCTTTCACTCTGTATTTATCTAAACATCTCACCTCTATATTTTCTTAAGGTCCAACAAAAAAACTGCTGCTTTTCTTTAACATGAAGAGTTAAAAGTGCTGCACAAGTCAGACCATGGAGTATCATGTCTTATTGTTCATATCTCAAGAAAATGTTTTTCATCTTCATCTGTCTTTATCTTCTCTCTCCTCATGTTGAGAAGCTCAAAGAGGAGAAGCAGAGGAGTGAGGACGACAAGGAGAAGCTGCAGAAGGAGGTGGAGACCAAGACAAAAGAGGTTCATCTTTTATTAATATTCATTTGTTTCCTCAAACCTATTTGTTTGTTTATCTCACATAATATATATACATATAGTTGTATCAACATATGTTTTTGGTCAACTGAGTGTCGAATATTTCAAAAGTATTTAGGCTACTGAATCAGAAATCAGAATCAGAAATACTTTATTGATCCCTGAGGGGAAATTCTGTGTCAGAGTTGCACACATTGCACAAAAGGCAAAAGGAATATAATTCAAAACAAAGAAAATATAAAGGAGTGTGGATATGTACAATATTTACATAGTTAAATGAATTGTTATGGTGAACAATAATGATGAATAAATAGTAGCAGCAGAGTAGGCCTATTACAGATATTAATGTCCAGTTTAAAAACTATGTCCGTGTACTGAGTTATAGAGTTTGATAGCCACAGGCAGGAATGACTTCCTGGAATACTATCACTTGAATGAGCTCTGTCCTGTGGAATTTTATCAGCACGCCAAGACTCACAGGTCAGGGTGGAGTTCTTTCTGTGGTTTTTAAAGAACGTTTTATCTGCCAGTCAGTGAGGGCTGACACGTACTCTTCTTTTGAACTACAGATGACTAAGGTTGGTTGTTCAAATACATTTTATTGTATTTTAGTTTACTGGCCACCTCTTTTCTTACTGATCTTTCTGACTTCTTATCTTCCATTATTAAGCTGGACAGATTGATCATTGTTGGTGATTTTAATATCCATGTGGGTGATGATACTTGCAAAAATGCTTCTGAATTTGTAAATATTACTGAATCTTTTAACTTCACTCAGCATGTCTCTGGTCCTACGCACAGCAAGGGACATACACTCGATCTTGTTCTTTCTCATGGTGTAAACATTGATAATGTCTGCATCGAAGATGTATTTGTTAGTCACAAATGAATCTTATTTGATCTTGTTTGTGATGAGGATCCTCTCCCTGCTAAACGAGCGTCCTGCTCACGTTTGATTAACCTGCATACTGTTGAGAAATTTTCAGCCGCATTTGACTCAAGCTCGGTTCTTATTTTGAATGACGTGGACGCTTGTGCACAGGCTTTTATTGATCACTGCACCCTGCAGTCCACCGCCTGAATCTTAAAGTGCTCTTTATAGACTTAAACGAAATGATTAAGGATGCTAGAGCCTCTTATTTTACTAATCTGATATCTGCCTGTAAAAAAAATCCTAAAGCTCTGTTTGAGACTATTAACAACATTGTTTCTCCTGCTGTGTGTATTGTCCCTGTGTTTTCAAATGTTGACTGCCACCACATTTGTCTCATTTTGTGGACAAGGTTAGAGCTGTCAGGGCAGACATTGTTCCATCAGCAAACCCCCATATAATTAAACATCACATGTTTGGTTTCAATTTAAAACTTGTCTCTTCAGCTGGAGAAGGCCTTATCTGTTTCAAGCATGCTGTTGTTCAGCCTATCTTGAAAAAGAACAATCTTGATGCAGCGTCATTTAGAAACTATAGGCCTATTTCTAAATTGACTTTTATTTCTAAAATTCTAGAAAAGGTTGTAGCGAACCAGCTAAATAATGTTTTCGATTCCCATAATATCTTTGATATCAGTCTGGTTTTCGTAAAAACTATTCAACTGAGACTGCCCTCCTTAGGGTGTCAAATGATATTTTGATGGCTGCTGATGGAGGTAAATGTTCTGTGCTGTTGTGATATTGTGGATCACTGCACTCTGATTGATAGCCTGAAAACAACTGTGGGCATTACTGGATCAGCTCTGGATTGGTTTTCCTCCTATCTTTCAGACAGGAGTTTTTCTGTGTCCATAGGAACATTTATGTCAGATTCTGCTCCTGTGTACTGTGGTGTGCCCCAAGGTTCTGTGCTCGGCCCCCTGCTGTTCAGTCTGTATATGCTTCCTCTCGGAAAGATTATTGGTAGTTTTGAAGAAATATCTTACCATTGCTATATTGATGACATCCAATACACTTGTTTAAACAAATCCTCTATGGACAAAATGCAAGTTGTGCAGAATGCAGCTGCAAGACTTTTCAAAGACAAACAGGAGATCACCCATTACTCCTGTGCTTAAGGCTCTTCATTGGCTTCCAATTGGTTTTAGAGTGCATTTTAAAATTTTAACCATTACTTACAGAGCCTTGCATTCTCAAGCTCCCTCTTACATCCAGGATCTATTGCATGCACACGCTTCTGGTCTCTCTCCGAGGTCTTCAGGCCAAGACTTTTTAATGGTTCTCAGAACACATTTTAAAACAAGAGGTGATCGTGCTTTCTGTGTGGTGGCTCCAAGGCTCTGGAACTCTCTCCCTTTAGCCTTGAGAGCTTTGGTCTCTGTGGAAACTTGTAGAAAACACCTTAAGACCTTAAGACACATCTTTTTAGACAAGTATTTAACTAGCCATATGGTTTGGGATTTTATGTGTTGTTGTTTTTATTTTTTTATTATTTTGTTCTATTTTTTAGCACTTTGTGACCCCTCTTGTCTCTGAAAGGTGCTATATAAATAAAGTTTACTTACTCAGGTGTTGTGTCGAGTTCAGCAATGCAGCATGTATGATGTTACATGTCGACGTCAGGTTGGCAGAGGGCGGAATGTAAACAGCTGCAGCGATGGCATGTGAAATTTCCTGTGGCAGATAATATGGCCGGAGTCCCACAGCAAGCAGTTCAGTGTCCGGGCTACAGATACGCTGTTTAACTGTAATGTGCAGTGGCGTTTTTATATGTAAAAAATTGGTGGGGCACCAACCATTTCAAAAGAAAGGCTATGCCAGTACAACTACAATTGGCTAACATTACTCTTTCTTGCTACTGATGTGTTTTTAAAACATTTCAACAGCATGGCTCCACCAAACACTTGCGGCTTGCTTTAACCAGGTGTTGTAAACATAGGCCAATCCAGCGGATGAGAGAGAGAGAAAGAGAGCTATTACACAAGTTTTTTGGACATGCATCTCAATATTCCTCAGTTCAGAGTCCGTCGACTCGTCGTGGGCCCGCAGTGCTGTTGCACACTTACCACAGAGTAATCACGAGTGATCATGTCTGTTTTCAACTAGCAGACATGGTAATCAGCTTTCTTTTCTTAACGGTAACATTAACCGTTAGCCGATGTCTCCTCAAAAACCACTATGTTAAATCTGCGGCTGCTTTTAGCATCAGTTTAAGTGATGACCATATCCCATGGCTGATGGGCACCAAGACACTTTAATTCCAGTTTCTCCTTCAAATCAACGTTAAGGGTCTCAAACCAACACAGTCTCACTCCCTACTCGTCAAATGTCTGACGCATGGTCAAGGCCCTTTGTCATCGCTTTTTAAAGACTTGGGTAGCCCTTTTGCGTCAATTATTGACGTTTAGGGATCCACAGTCAAGTTAGCAACGCTTAGCAACAATAAATATGCAATATCCGGTTACACTTTCAAGATAAAACGTAACGTTTCAATACATTGCCATGATGAAACGCGCATAATTAAAGTCGTGAAACGTTGCAGTTTCGTTAGGTTTAGGCACAGAAAGTACTTGGTTAAGGTTAGGAAAAGATCATGGTTTGGGTTAAAATAGCTATTTATGTCAATTAAGACTTAAGTTAACTAACGTTAACGTCAATTTACCTCACTCGCCTAAATAAAAACATTTAATGTTTTGTTTCGCATGGGACACAAACCCTGTTCTCCTGCTTTAAGGTCCGGGTTCTGGCCCTCTATCCACCCCAATCACCTCCTTACTTCGTCTTTTCTCTTAAATATCATACTTGCCTTTACCATCAAAAACTGACACAACAGGGCTTCCCTCAATACGTCGAACTATGACGTCAAAGGGATCCCTAGTGCGTCACAAACTGACGATTATGGCTCTTGACCAAGCGTCCATATGTGACGACTTGGGAGTGAGACCGGGTTGCTCAAACCTGAGCTACAGTATGAAATACACTTAGTTATGTCTCATGTTAGCTGGCTTAAGTATAGCTAAAACTTGCCTACTAATGTTGGCGTCGGAAAGCCAGCCAATCAACTCTGACATGAAATGACGCTGTAGTGGGGCTACAGGCAGCTAGCCCCACTTGCCATAAAATTTGTGTGATGTACTTGCATAGAGAAATACTCTGAGCATGCAAATTACCATTTTCCCACTTACAATGTATATTGCATTGAGACAGAGGGGCTAGCCCCACATTCATGCTAGCAGCCTACAGACGCCAATCGAGAGAACGCGGTTTGAAGCAGCAAGGCAGGGAGGGACCAGTGAACATGAAATTAAATCCTAACACAAATTAAATGCAATTTAGCAATTTAGTTATATTTATCGAAAGTAAAATATATCATAATAATCTTTTTAATTAAAATAATTTGTTTGCTCAGTTGTTTTCGTTCATTAGTGACCAGTCGCCACTGGTAATATGATCGGGATTACACCATCTGTTGTTACCTAGAATGGAAAGCCCTCCACCTTTACGCTTACCACTCTCGGTGCAATCCCTGTTGCCCCAAACAGTCTGAAAGCCATCAATGGAGACGTTTTGGTCAGAAATATCCGAGTGTATCCAAGTCTCCATGAAGCACATTAAACTACACTCCCAGAATTACCTCTGACTCCGTGCTAACGTTGTTAGCTCGTCCATCTTATTAGCCAGTGACCTCACGTTGCCCGTGATGAGAGAGGGGAGACATGGCTTAAATCTCCTTCTCCTAAGTCTCTGTTGTCTGGACCCCACTCTCTACCCTTGCCGTTTCGTTCCTCCTCTGCATCCTCTGTGTGTCCTCCTCCAGATCTCAGAGGGATGTCTGTGGGCCTGGGCGCCATGCCGGTCGGCTTCAGCACGATCAGCCAATCAGCTGGTCCCGGGTGTAAACAAAGCCATGAAGTGAACGGTGCCATGGCTTACCAAAACTCCCTTAACTTGCATGATTACAGAGAGTCTAGTTTAAATTATTTATATTCCAAAAATTACACACGTGAGATATAAAAAGAAAGTTAAAAAGTTAGAAAAAAGATGACGATTGACAGAGCAACTGCAACAGGCTGCATGCACATTGGCACATGCGGGCTCAACCTGTTAATTGCTCATCCTGGGCTTCCTGAGCCAAGGTGCTCTGTGGGTTTGCCGGGGTGATGGGGTCTGGACACAAAGACAGAGGAAACAGGCAGACTGATGAGTAGCTTCCGGCAAGGAGAGCAGAATTAAGTAGGCTAGTGAGAAAATGGTTTTATTCATGTGTATTCCGATGTAGAGAGCAGTGTGTGAGTCTGCAATGTTCTATGAGCTATGTTCATGGATGTTGCTGGAATCGGTACAGACGGAGAGACCCTGGTCTTCTTGTAGGCTACCTGTGCTGTGAGGAAGGATGCCACTGTAGGCCTAGCAGAGAAAAGGGAGGGTGGTAGAGGTAGGAAGAAAACTGTCATACAAAAATGTTTGGGTTGTAATTAACAGTAGAGAAAGACTGTAACAGCAGATAAACAGACAGAGAGCACACAGACTCTACAACATACTCGGATGGACAGCCATTGTTTTAACTGCATGTGTAAATTTGTTATAAACGAGTGCTCTTAAAAAACTATTCAGCATTGTGTGCCGGTCACATACACCTCTTCTCCTTCATACGTATTCAATGTAGTGATGAGCGTCTGTCTACACTGCCAGAAAACAAAAAGAAGAACGTAAAAATCAAACATACTCTGTAGAGCAGTTTGTCTGTGTGGGATACTGTAGCGGAGCATTTTTATTTTCTCATTACATGTTGAATTCATCAGTTAGTGGTGTAGTGTAGTCTAAATGTTCTCAGAGTAAACAGGTTAAACCTGAGCCAAACTGTGTGCACATTAAACAGTAATAAATCACAACCTCCAGCCAATCAGGAGTGAGTTGTCATCCAGACCAGGGTATTTGCACTAAATAAAATAAAATGTTTCTCATCTTGTCGTTCCTCATCTCTCTTTTCTCTTCCAGTGGGAGAAGAAGCTGCAGGAGGAGAAGATCAGAAGAGAGAAAGCTGAAGAGAAAGCTGAAGAGAAAGCTGAAGAGAAAGCTGAAGAGAAAGCTGAAGAAAAAGTGAAGACGCTGCTGGTTCATGTTGTTTAACCTGAAGTTTTGTTATTAATTAACCGTTCTTCAATTTTTGTTTCACTTTCTTTTAATGTTCTTCACAAATTAATAATCTGAAACCAAGACAACTCAAACTACATGAAAGCAAAGACACCAAATGACTGAACAGACCCAAATGCCACACACACAAACAAACGCTGAGATATAAGCAGCATATCGAAAAGCTACTTTGTTGATTTTTCCTGAATGACTCATCTGTGTGTGTTCTCTCCCTCTCAGCAAGAACAAGAGGTTAAGAGTTCTCAGTTTAAGCAGCAGGACGATACCAATTCGGCTAGTTCGAGCTCAACGACTAGACAAGTCATCAAGGTTGAGGTCGAGAAATGGAAAAAATTTATCCATTTCAGAAACACATCCAGTGAGGTAATGGTGTCTGTGTGTGGATGAACACTGTGAGTGATATATAAGCGTGTACAATATTTATAGCACTGAGTTATCCAAGAGTAAACAGGGATATTCCAAATATCAAAGCTAATGACCGGTTATTTACCCAGAATCCATTTTCTCTTGTTTTCATATAAAGAGGGAGGTGACGTACCCTTATTTATAAACAACTGATTTAACACTGTAACGTTCATTTTTTAGTCTCTTTCTCTAATCATCTCTCTCATGCTCAATTTCCCTCCTGTAGGACCAAGAACTGGGTGGCTGGACGTTGAAAGTACAATTCAACGACAAAGAACCCATCTCATACACATTTGAGAAATCATTCAAACTCAGTCCTGAAGAAACAGTCACTGTAAGTTTTTATTTCTCAATTTATGTTGTTGAATCATCATTCTTCCTTCCTTCTCTCTCTCTCAACTGTTCAATTAAATTAAAAAATTAATTATAACTGAATATTTAATGGTTTTAAAAATTCTGCTTGTAAGTCTGTGGCCTGTATTTTACAGATGGGGCGCCCAAGTCATAATCGTCTTTCTCAACCTGACCTGGTGTGGGAGGACCTGAAGTCCTGGAGCAGTGGAGACACACTGCAGGTCTTCCTCTTCAGCAACACCGGAGAGATCCAACTTCAACATAGTTCATAGAGATAGTCATTGAAAGACAGTAATTGTCACACGATTTTTTTTTTAAAGTTTGATAGGTAGAATTGTACTACAATTTTCCAATGCACAACATCACAGCATTTATAGCTATTGCTAATTTCCAATGCCCGTCCCTAGAAGGGCTTTCAACATTACATGTACAACATTAAGCATAGCAACAGTAAAACAATTACACATTCATATCACCCACCGATCCTATCTTTTAAAAACTTTTTGCTCCTTTTAACTACAATGATCTCCCCATTTAGCTTCTTTTATCACCAACATGAAAGGACCGTGATAAAAAGTTACCATCACACCAAAATGCTGAACAGTAAATAGTGCTGTAATCCAGCAAACCTGAAAACACTGAAAGTTATACATCAGGAACAGCACAACTCAGATCTTCCTGTGAAAACACATGTTGTAGTGACGTCCAGGAAACACAAGGTCACATCACGTCCGGATCTGGAATCAACAAAATGAGACCTTTTTATCAATGTTGAATCAAACTTTATTCCACTTTTTCCCTTCTTCTGGTCTTTTCAACAATTGAAACCATGTTTTGTCTGCAAGTTTAAAAACTGAACTGTTATAAAGACAAAAAGGGTAAAATACTTAAAATACTTACTCTAAATCAAAATGTGATAACTCAGGAATTTTTGCTTCTTTGTCTTATTTGAATAAGATATATTTACATAAGTTAATTAACTTTCTTCAATATTATAAAATGTACTTAATTAAAACAGTGGCTGCAGCTGTAGTGATATCTTGCAAGATTGCGGTTTGACAATATTTCTCAGAGTTAAAAACTGTGACTCACGCAAACTACATTTTCCACACGCTGGCAAGCCACACATTAATTTTTCTCACACAGTGAAATACAAATTTAGTGTAACTGATTAGATAGACTCATGGAGCAAATGAACTTGGCCCAGCTGATTGACACCGGTGTACACTGTGATAGTAATCATCAGGGACGTGCACAGGGGGGTTGCTCTGGTTGCCCGGGCAACTGCCCGTTTGCCTTTCCTGACTCAAGTTGCCCTTCCGACTCGCCCTTCCGAGAAAAAAAAATAAAATAAAAAAATAATCGCGATCGCAAAGCCTCATTCACTTCCATTCGGGCACCGAAAGTGAAAGTCAGTAGGGGAAGGGCAAACTCTGTTTAAGTGGCTGCACTGCTGCAGCGCTGCCTGCACGTCAGTCGATTCTGTTCCCTACCGGAATTCCTGTTTCCTTCCTTTATGCAATCATACTACAACAAATCATGCGTAGTTTTGCCCAGTTACCATATGTGATACGTACCAACAGAAGTGAATACGAGCTAGAAGCGCAACTGAATGTACGGGAAGCCAAAAGGTTAAAAAAGGATTGTATTTTTTTCCGAAATCTAAGCGTTTTTTTATTTAATATTTTATTAGAAGCGAGTTTTCCCCATCTGTCAATTCAATCTAGATTATTTATTTTCAAATAAAAAAAAAAAGGAAAAAAAATAAAAAATAATAATGATTAAAAAAACAATAAACAATAATATAAGGAACTCTTTTTTCATGACTCGAGTCATGTTTTTCTGTTTTGTTATTAATAGTAGTTTAGGTTATTGAGTGCTGTATTTAAGTGTTTTTACTTTTTGTATATTTTTTAATAAAAAAATGTTTTTTTCTCAGTCCTTCATATAGCCCATGTTTTTTTGTTTTTTTTTTTTTTTTGGGGGGGGGGGGGGGTGCCTTTTTTTCAGGTCAGAGCAACTGCCCTTCAAAATTCCTGTGCACGTCCCTGGTAATCATAGAAGTCCAGACAGCTGTGACGAGTGGTAGCTGGCAGAGTTGTGCAACATTAACATCTAAAAACTGAAGCGTAGCCTGCTCTGTTTGGGGCTGTGAGCTGCACTGGAAGTTAACGTATGTGTGGATCTGTGGAAACAGATCTGATCACAGCACAGAATGACCGAAAGCTGCACTGTATTAGATTCTGGTAGAGTTAAGCTATAGAGTTTGAATTGTCACCTGCCGCCTGAATTTTGTGGTTCTCTTTACAGAAAAAAGTAAATGAAGAATCACCATAAACTCATGCAAAACATTTGATCAGAATGCAGGAAATAAAATGTTTAATACGGGGATGGTGATGGCACAATAAATAAGATGCCTGCCTTTGGTGTGAGAGACCCAGGTTCAATCCCCCTCTGTGACCCATCCACCATTGTGTCCCTGAGCAAGACACTTAACCCCTCGTTGCTCCAGATGTGTGCGACCTCTGACATGTCTAGCAATGGTAAGTCGCTTTGGATAAAAGCGTCAGCTAAATGAATAAATGCAATGCATGTAATACTAATTCAGCATTAAGTGTTCAAATCTCATCTCATTTTTATATACAGTCTATGGTCATACCTCTATAAACACTACCTTTTTAAGAAAAGCTCATAAATCGCAGTGAATCTGAGGTTCACCTTTAAAGAAAATAATATTCATGAAGTACACAGTTAACAGTCACCAGGTTCTACTTAACTATAAGAGGATATGTAACAGACTGAAGCTGTTCTTATATTATATATTGCTCAAGACTCTGTGGGTTTCTCACCAAATATTATTTGACGGCAGGAACAAGAATAATTTGGTGGACATCTAAGCTGTAGTCCTGGAGAATCAGGGTCCAACGCTTTAAGCGCTGATTGTGGTTGTAATGTTTTCATATATATATATTATTGTATTAATTTCTGCCACGCCACAGACACGCCATTAACCAAAAACTCATAAGTTTTATATATAGGTCTATACACACTTTTCCAATCTGAAACTAAAGTTTGGCTTTTCACACAATGAGTGAGGCGTCCAGGGTGTTGTTAGAGTGAGTTGGTGAGTCTGGCTGGCTGGAGATGGAGAGGAACAGACTGAAGATGGAAACAGAGATTAAATGGCTGGAAAGCAACAGAGCAAAAAGGCAAAATTCAGATAGTTATGCCGCGTTCCAGACCGGTCGGGAATTTCCAAGTTGAAATATCCGACTTCCGACCTCAAAGCTTTTCAGGTGCATGACGCCAAATATAAACAGCCTAAATATGGCTGACCGCGGTCAGGAAAAAATATTTCTATGTCAATTTACATGCAGAACAAGCTTTACTATTTGATAATAGTATGCATTATTTTAATCAAATAGGCTACTTTACTTGCCTTTTAGTTTATGGTTTACCATTTACAATGTGTGATTCGACGGGAGCTGCCATGGCTGTGTGACGTCATTCGGCTGCTACTCGTGAAGTCGGTTTATCTACATATTTTTCTTCGAGTTCACGAGTGGGAAACCCGACTTCAAGTGGCGTTTCACTGTCCTTTTTCTAGTTGGAAATATCCCAGTTCCGAGTTGCCTGGAACGCAGCACAACACTGACACACCCACCAGACGAGAGAACATAACATATAGCCCATCTGATTGGCTGTAGCTAACCCACAGCGTCCTAAACAAGCGAATCAAGGGATGCAACAAATACAAGGCAATCAGAGGCAGAGATCTCCGAGCGCTGGCCGAAGACCCGAAGAGTTCCGATGCAGACTTCGGCCGCACATTCTCAGGTGAGTGTGGCACGGAACATTCAACAGGTAGGTCTATTTCGCCTTTATCGCCTTATATGCCTTATATTAACATTGCATGTAGAATAGATTAGACACAAAAATAGGTGGGCCTCTGCCTTCTGAATTGATAATAACTAGATAATAGTCATTTTCATGGATTTCACAGTGGAAGAAATGCATTTGAAATGTAAGTCATTTTAACACCTGTGATATAATCAACCGAGATATTGGACTTTGTGACATGGGAAGGGTTCTAGTGTAATTAAAATATCACATGAATATGGCAGCTTCAAAACACATTGTAAATTAACTATGCGGATTTAAAGGCACACGTTTCAAACTGAAAGTGTTTTTTTTTCTTAACGATGCAGACAAGAAAATCTGCGGGCCAGAAATGAAAGTATAATAAAAGTATAATGCGGACACCCTGTCAGCATTAGCAGAAATGTTGTCACAACATAAGTAGGAATGAAGGCAAAGCAAAGGTGTTCTCACAGGCTCATTGACTTTTATAAACAAGTGTATCTAATGACTGGATCTATTTTAAGCCCCAATTCCCTGTAAATTATCACTGATTTCCATTTTCAGAGCTCCATGATGCTCCATGGGAAGCCTGTTAAATCTCATCTCACACACCTCAGTGTTTTGGTTTTCTATCTTCTCTTAAAACATGTCTGTAGAGGTAAGTTACATACATAAGTATCTTTAAAGAAGTCTGAGGAAAAGAGTCTTTGTTATTAGAGTTTTGTCTAATCGGAGGAGATGAAGCCTTACAGGAGTCAAGATAACTTCATTTTTGATCATTAAAACAGACATTTGTTTTTCCAGGTCAGCCTCAGCTGATTGGTCCATCTCAGCCAATTGTGGCAACACTTGGTGATGACATCATTTTGCCATGTCATCTGAAACCTGAAGAAGATGCTTCTGGTTTGACGTTGGAGTGGACGAGACCTGACCTGGACCCCAGATTTGTCCACGTGTGGCGTTCTGGTCAGGAGCTTGTGGGTAAAAAACATCAATCCTTCGAGGGAAGAACGTCACTGTTCATCGATGAGCTGAAGTTTGGAAACATCTCGCTGAAACTCTCCAAACTGAAACTCACGGATGAGGGAACATACACATGTTTTAGTCCAGCACATGGTCTGCAATCTTTTGTTCAGCTGATTGTTGGTAAGTCTATAATGTTCTTGTTCACTTTGCAGTCTTAAAATGATTTTAGTAATTAACACTGTTTCACTAAGCTATAAGGCAAAGTTAATAACCTAGCATTTATTCTGAAATAAATGCCATTTGAAATTCAATAAATTCAATGACTCATTATATATCCACTTTTCAGGACATTTAATTAATTTGTGATGCACTGTAGGAGTTTTCACTTCCAGTAACAGCACTGTTAAATAGTTCCTCTTTCTCAGCATCAGGTGCTGTCTCCTCACCAGTCATAAATTTAGCAGGAATTGTTAAAGCCACCAGTGGAGTGGTGTTACAGTGTGAGTCTGCAGGCTGGTATCCAGAGCCTGAGGTGTTTTGGCTGGACGGTGAGGGAAACCTCCTCTCTGCTGGACCTACAGAGACAGTCAGAGGTCCTGATGACCTCTATACTGTCAGCAGCAGAGTGACTGTGGAGAAGAGACACAGCAACAGCTTCACCTGTAGAGTCCAACAGAAGGACATCAACCAGACCAGAGACACTAACATCCAGGTTACAGGTAGACATTATTAATGATTTACTGTTTTAGTTTCAAACTACATTGGTCAGTTTTATAAAAATGCCAAGTTGTTTTGTTCTTATCATTTCAGATGATTTCTTTGAGGTCCAGTCCAGTTCTCTGTCCACCATTATTGGTTTGGCTGTTAGTTTGGCTGCTTGCATCCTGTTAATGTCTGCAGCGATTGTCTTTTTTGTGTACAAACGGAGACAAAACACAGTCA